TTCATCTTTGCATTAATGTCCCCATCCCCTCTCCTTCCCTGCTGGCCCGCCAAGCCAGAAAGATTGGGGACCTCTGCCTTATAGGGTGCCCCGAAGCTGATATACCAGCAAAAGGTTATTTATCTGTTACATTTACACGCCACCCATCTCAATATTCAAAGCAGTTTACAATGCAATAATAATGGAAATATATAAACAATTAAAAATATAATTAAAATTACAAGAATTAAATACAGAGTAAATATTAAAGGCTTGAGTGGGGCTGAAGTAGTGCCTTCTCTCTATCACGGCACCAACTGCCTGCAGCCAAAAGTGTCTCCATCATGTCCCCGGAGGAAACAGCTGAGCAGGTTTTAAGACTCTTTAAAAGATGTTCCAGAGGGTGGAGGGGCATGAAAGAAAAGTCTCCTGTATAGTTAAAGTTCAAATTCTCCCTCCCCCCAATTGTCGAAAGCAGTTTCCGGATATTGTGGGAAAGTCTTTTGGCTCTGGTAAACACCTGCCGAAATATCCTTGGTTCTCACGTCGACATCTTGATGTCTGGCCCCATGTTCTATCTCGCCCTTCCCTCTACCTGTAGTTTGTTGGCAAGCTGAGACTCAATAATAGTTGCAACCGCAAGACACCTTTTGAAGCTTGACAGTCTCCTTTTTCCCATCCCAGCCTGTAATCCTCACCCAAGGCTCCCTCCCTCAGAAAAGACTGAGCAATGCCAAGCATAACATTGCTGATGCCCCTCCAACTCAGAAGCATTTACCCATTTGTGTGGCTTGAGAAAACCCACAAGTGAACTGACGCCGCCACCACTGCCACTATTACTATGCTTGCAGCGTTCCCATCTTCCGCGTCCAGTTTGACTCCTTGCTGTCACCAATATCTTCTTCCTTAGCAGTCCTTAGCCTTGACCTATATCCACTGTTTTGGCTCCTCTGAATGGCATCAGTCTGGATGCTATGAAGCAAGTGGGAAGGATAGGAAAGGGTGACGGGTGGCATGCCGTGTTTCCAAGAAATTTCAATTTTTCTGATTGTGGCTTCCCTGCCTGTGTCCTACCAGCCCTATCTTCCTCCATTTCAGGCCGGAGTTTGCAACAACCACAAACATACACAAGCTATATTTCCAAGAGAGGCTTCAGGTCCTCCTCTTCTGCCATTTCTGACAGGATTTGGCCCCTTTTGAGGCTTCCTCCAATCTCTGCGGAGCCTTCAGGGTAGCTGTTATTGTGGGAAGACAGTTCGGATCCCCCAGAGAGATTTTTCTCCATCTTCACAGATGTTCCTGAACACGAAGGAGAGGAAGACGGAGACGCTGCAACCACTGGAGATGCTGCCACCTTTCTCAGACAGGGAATCATTGTGAATGGCCTTTCTTCTACTCCCATGCCCATCATCCCTGCCCTCCCCTCACGCCAAGATGCGCTTTCCTCTCCCCCACCCCTCCATTCAGTCCCCTTTCCAGCCCTTTGCAGCCCTTTGCAGGGTCTCCTGCCATTGCAAAAAAAATCCACCAGGGGACACCCTCTGCAAGTAGAAAGGACCACCAAGGGCTTCCCCATTGGGCCACAGGAAGGCGAAAGTCAAGGTTGGTTTTCCAGAGGAGGCTGCGGGGGGAGTGACGTCACAAACGCTTGCCGCTCTAGGACCGTGCACTCGCTCTCCTTAACCCCTGGGGCTCCGCAGGAGGCGGAGAGGCTGCGGGAGAGGCTGGCGGGGGGAGATCCAGACGTGCCCCGGGTGAGAAGGGGGAGGTTCTTTACGGGCAAAGGGAGGCGGAGGAGTGGGAGACCCCCCCCCCCGGTCCGGCTTCAACTCCGGATCCCATGCTCCCCAGCCACCTTGTCCATGCAAGGTGAAGCGGTGGTTCAGAGCATCCGAAGAAGAAGAACCGGGGATCCCAGGAAGGCGGCGGGGATCCGGGGGTCCCTTCCCGCTCCGTGTCTGTGGAAGAGCCCGAGTGGGGGGAGGGTCGGCCTTGCGAAGCCCCAGCAGGAGAGGAGAGAAGCGGGGCGAGGAGGAGGCAGGATTCGCACCAGGCTCCCCGAGGTCCCGATCCTCCGCAGCCTGTCTCCGGAGGGGGAGAGAAGCGGGGCGGCCTCTCCAGCTGCCTCCTACCCGTCCCTGCGCTTGGATGACCCCTTTGGGGCTCCGGGCAGGTTGTGTGAACCCTGAAAAGGGGGCATCTTCAGCCAGGGACATTTCCTGGCATTTTATTACATGTGAATCGAACTTTCATGGTTTGTTCACCTTTTTTGGGGGTAGGGGTGGTGGATGAGTTGGCAGGTTGTATGAACCCCGCTTGGAGATAAATAGCAGTAGCAATAGCAATAGCAGTTAGACTTATATACTGCTTCATAGAGCTTTCAGCCCTCTCTAAGCAGTTTACAG